AGGGCAAACAACAACAATAACAACAATGATACATTAAAATAAATATAATTAAAAATCTAACATTATTATGGCTCTACTCTCCAATCCTGTACTATGGGTTCTATTCTAAGTGGATACAGATGCAGGATGGCCCAAAGACAAGAGCGGTCTTTGTTACCTGAAGGGGAGACCAGCCTCTAAAGTAAACATGTGAGCCAAATGATGTGGCTGGGGCAGGGGTCGAATGAGACCCTGAAGGACCTGGCATGCAATCTGGGGCAAGTACATAAACCAAAGGATGAACACTGGGGGAATTAATTGCGATCTGTGTTTTCACCTGTACTTTCTGAATTTTACAAATAGGCTACAGCACGGATGTTTTGCTATGGGAAATTACTGTTATTTAAGAGTAATGGCCTGGGGATGGATCTCAGTGATACTTGCTTAGCATGTGTGAGACCCTGGGTTCCATCCCCAGTATCGCAAAAAAAAAAAAAAAAGTAAAAAGTAAATAATAGCGTTAACTAGGGCAGTAATGGGAGGAGACAAGTAGAGGACACTCCTGACAGGAAACCTCCGAGGGCGGGGCGGCGGGTTGGGGGACATTCCTGTGGTGGCACACGTGGCCGCCAGGGGTCAGCAGCAACCCACTGCCCTTCGTCGCCAGCCACAGGTGACCCGAGGAGGCTCTCTCCGCGAAGGTCCTTCCTGCCATCCTCACACTAATCGCCATTTGCGGTCCACATGCTTCTGTCTCGGGCCATTTCCCGCTTAGTGGCAGTTGCTGGGGTCTCGGAGGGCCACAGCTGTCTGCCAGCGGAGGGGAGACACGGGGCTGGGCCGGCGGCGCTGGGTGAGAGCGCGCTCTGCCCAGGGACGGTGGACAAAGGGACGGTACTACGGGCTTCCAGAGCCTTTCCTCCCTGGGGAGGGAGGGGACAGGAAACCGAGGCTGCTTCCGGGGCTGGGACTTGGTCGAAGGAGAGCCAGAGGTCAAAGGAGGGGTCAGCCTGCTCAGCCAGGGAAATGGCTCTTCCTAGTAGGACGGATGCATTCTGGCCTCAGGGTAAGGAGCAAGGGAGAGGAGGCGCGCCTTATCCCAGGGCAGGTTAGGGACTCAAGCTGGCTAAAAAAAAAAAAAAATCACTTTCTAAACCAGAAAACTCTCCTGCTTACTGGGAGTTGGAGGGAAAAAACACTCATTTAAAACAGTGAGAGAAAACTCCAGCACTGAGCTCAACATTTGGAAACCTCCTATCACCCACTGTGCAACCTTAGGAGAATTACTGACCCTCCCTGGGCCTCAACTCAGCCTTCTGTAACCGGAAGGTTAGATAAGAGGATCTTTAGGTCAGGGGTGCAGGCTGTAATCCCAGCTACTCCCAAGGATGGAAAGTTGGAGGCCAGGGGCTGGGGCCACATGGCTCCGAGGTAGAGTGCTTGCCTAGCACATGTAAGGCCCTGGGTTCAATCCTCAGCACCACATACAAGTTAATAAATAGAATAAAGGTATTTTAAAAATTAAAAAAGAAAGAAAAGAAAGTTGGAGGCCAGCCTTGGCGATTTAGCCAGAGAAGCTGTCTCCAAAAAAGAAATTAATTAAAAAGGGCTAGGGATGTAGCTCAGTTGGTAAAGCACCCCTGGGTTTAGAGGATATTAGGCCTTAGTTCACACACTCTACAAATGTAAACAACTCCTTACTCCACCCTTCCCCAAGGCAGAGCTGGCTTAGCCTCAGGGAGGTCTGGCTGAATCAGGACAGGTCATCCCCTAAAGTCTGGTCTCTGAACAGTTCCTCAGAAAAGGCCCTTTGGAAGACTGGGTCCAGGTGAAAAGCCCCGCCAACATGGAAACCAGTAGCTCTGTCTGGTGGCACCATTATGGGTGAGCATTAAAGGATATAGGTGTTCTCAGGGCAAAGCAGAACCAAAATTTGTCCCCCTCCACATACTGTACTCCAGGTACCTCAGAGCTCTTCCAGCCCTCAGATGTTTAAATAATACCCCTCTCACAAGAGCAAGGACAGAGGAGGTTATGTTGTTTAGAATGACTGCTATTAAAAGTAACATTGTAGTATAGTGGCACAAGCCTGTAATACCAGCGACCCTGGAGCCTGAGGCAAGAGGATTGCAAGTTCAAAGCCACCCTCAGCAATTTAGGAAGGCCCTAAGCAACTTACGGAGATCCTGTCTCAAAACTAAATAATAAAAGTAAAATGGAATTGGGGTTGTTGCTCTGTGGTTAAGCACCCTGGATTCAATCCCCAGTACCAAAAAAAAAAGTGAAAGATACTCTGTGTGAAAATAATATTTAGGAACTGGGGGTGTAGCTCAGTGGTACAGCACTTGCCTAGCTAAGGCGAGTGACAAAATCCTATTTTGATGACTTTTAAAAGTTAAGCAGGTACATCTTGAGGAAATCTGGAGCAACTTTTCTTGAAAGTAGGCTATAGTTAGCCTTTTAGGATTTCTATCAGTCTATAAATCAGATCCTATCTTTTTTTTTTTTTTTTTTTTTTTTTTTGAGGTGGGTACCAGAGATAGAACTCAGGGGCACTCAACCACTAAGCCACATCCCCAACCCTATTTTGTATTTTATTTAGAGACAGGGTCTCACTGAGTTGCTTAGAGCCTACCAATTTTACCTCATTTTAGCTAGACTTTTCAACTCAACCTACTCCCTCCGTGTTTTCCTTGTACCAAGTGAAGAATGAACCCAGAACAGGTTATATTCAGATTTTGTGACACCATGCCCCCAGGTTTATATATATTTGAAAGACTTTTTGTGGGGGATGGGGGCTCAGAGTCTTCTCATGTTGCCCAAGCTGGCCCCAAACTCCTGGATTCAAGCAATCCTCCTGCTCCTGTGTCATGTGAGTGAAAAAAAAAAAAAGGAAGTGCTCAAAATATTATAGGAATTTAGCAAAGCATGATGGCACAAACCTGTAATCCTAGCTACCAGGGAGGCTGAGGCAGGAGGATCCCAGCCTGGAGGCCAGCCTAGGCAACTTAGCAAGACCTTACCTTATCTTGTCTCAAGATAAGGTAAAAAGGGTTGGGGGTGAAGCTCAGTGGTACAGTGTCCAAATTTAATATCTGATTTTGCAAAAGCCAAAATTACAGGAATTTATCAGGAGCCAGCCTAACAGGAATCCTATGACTAAAGATGAGATAGTGTAAACATCCAAATGAATGATACTAAACATCCAAATGAATGATACTAGTGGGTTTTAATTTTTAGGGGGGAAGGTGTTACTGGGGATTGAACCTGGGAGTGCTTTTCTCCTGAGTATTTCCCCTAAGTATTATATCCCCAGACATTTTTTTTTAATTATTATTTTTGAGATGGTTTGGCTAAATTGCCCAGGATGACCTTGTGACCCTCTTGCCTTAGCCTGAGTTGCTGGGGTTATAGTACTAATGGAATTTATTTTATTTTATTTATTGTGGTGCTAGGGATTGAACTCAGGGCCTCACATATGCTAGGCAAGTACTACAACGCTGAGCTACATACACCCTGAACCCAATATTAATGGATTTTAGCCCATTGAGTAAAATCAGAATCCATGAGCCACACAGTGAAAAAGTTCTTCCTTACAATAAAGTGGCAACTAATAAAAACGATGGAACTAAAAAAAATCACTATCTGAGCCAGGCACAGTGATATACACCTGTAGTCCCAGCCACTTGGAGCTAAGGCAGGAGAATCACAAATTTAAGGCCAGCTTGGGCAACTTAACCAGACCCTGTCTCAAAATAAAAACTACAAAGGGCTGGGAATGGAGCTCAGTGGTAGAGTGCTTCTGTTTCCATCCCCAATATTGCAAAAGAAAAAAGAAAGAAAGAAAAGAAAAAAAGAGTTTGGGAGAAGAGAGAGAAAAGGGAAGGAAGAAAGAAAGGAAAAGAAAAAAGAACTGAACATGAAGTAAAGACTTGCTGGTCCATCCTGCCAAATTAGACACCGAGTCCAGGATAGAGACCTCCCACCTCTGCTGGAGGCCCCTGTAGCCATGGCAACCTGCTCCAAAAGCCCATTCTGCTAAGTCCCTTTTTCACCAGTTATTAATGTAAATCAGCTGATTTTGGACCTAAGCGCATCTACAGGATTGGTGAAGGCGATGAATCAGACAGGATCTTAGAGGTCAAGTTACACCTGGATATAGTTTGTGGTGGGGTCTTGTGGGCAGCAAGGTTTTTTCCCAGTACCATGAGCCAAACAGCAATAAACTACAAATGAAAAGAGGGCTGGATGCTGCCCTCAGATGCAGGGAATGGACGATAGATGGAAAAAGATTTAAATCTACATGGGACTTTTTTTTTTTTTTTTTTTTTTTTTGTACCAGGGATTAAACCCAGGAGTGCTTAACCACTGAGCCACATTCCCAGCCTTTTTCATTTTTTATTTTGAGACAAGGTCTTGCCAAGTTGCTTAGAGCCTAAATTTCTGAGGCTGGCCTCCAACTTGCAATACTCCTGCCTCAGCCTCCCAGCTCGAGGGACTTTAAAGGAATTCTCCCCCCCCCCCACACACACACACTGAGGATTGAACCCAGGGGCAATTTATCACTGAGCTACATCCCCAGCCCTTTTTATTTTTTATTTTAAGATAGAGTCTTGTTAAGCTGCATAGGGCCTCACTAAATTGCCTAGGCTGGCCTGAAACTTGCAATCCTCCTGCCTCAGCCTCAGAGTCGTACAGGTGGGGCACCACGGCGCCCAGGATAAGAATTCTTGATTCTCCTTCATATCCTGTAGTTGACTGAGAAAATAGTTGGCTTCTTGCCTTCTTTCTCCACAGAACAGGCTAGGAGCCAGATTCTGATCACAGGAGGCCTTTTGGTGGAGAGACGACTATATTCCCTCCTATCTCAGCAATCAACTCAGCAGATACAGAGAGGTTTGGGGAATATGACTCAGTGCTAAAGTGCTTAGCATGTGTGAGGCCCTGGGTTCAATCCCCAGCACCACACACACACACACACACACACACACACACAGAAAAACTAACAACACAGATACAGATGCCCCTGTGCATTCAACACAACCTTTATTAAGTGCTAACCTACTAACTAGGTTTGGAAACATAAATAAGCTTGCTCTGAGTATGTGTAGCTTGTGAGAAACAGTCATCAGTGCCTGCTCACATAGAGCTTACAGCCTGGTGAGGTGAGACTGTAAACAAATAAATATGCAATTACAAATGGTGGCAGGAATTGTGATGGAAAAGAGCAAAGTACCTCAAGGCAGAATAACAGTTGAGGGGACTGAGAAAACCTCCTGAGACAGTGACATGAGCCTGAAACTTGAAGGGTAAACAGGAGTGAATTAGACAAGAATGGAAAGAGCATGTTCCAAGCAGAGAGAATAAGAAAAAGCCCTGGCAGGGGGTACAGCTTGGGACACTTGGGGAACAAAGGACCAGTGTGGCCTGATTCTGGTGTACTAGGGGTTTCTGGGTAGGATGATGCTGGAAGGGATCCAGATTAGACAGGATGCTCTGTGCCTTGCTGCAACATTTGGGTTTTATTCTCGGTGCACTGGGTTGTAAACAACAAAGTATCCTGATTTATTTTAATTTTTTAACAGTTAAAAAAAATTAAACTGTGAAAAATGAATCAGAAAGCACAAAGTGAAGAAAAGCGTTACCTAATGGCACAAAGCAAGCTAGCTGCTTCTTCCCAGTTTGCTCAAACTACATAAGGTTTACTTTTCTTTTTCCCAACCTTTGCCTATTATGTGGGAGAGTGGCAGAAACCAGCCAGCCAGGATCCAGGCAGGGTCCCCTGAGCTAGGCTGCTGGTAACAAAAGGGGGATCAATTGGGAGGCTATTGTGAAACCTCAGGCAAGGGGGTAATAGTGGCTGGACTCAGCTAACGGAGAAAAGACACAGATGGATTAGAGATACATTTGGATGTGGGAAGTGGGAAAGAGAGCAGGATCAAGAATTTCCCTGAAAATTTCTGCTTTGAGCAACTGGGGAGAATAGGTGGAAATACCATTTACCAAGGTCAGAAAGACAAGGGAAAGAATTCAAAAAGGGTCCAGAAGGTTGAGAGTTCAGCATGGCACATGATAGGCTTCTGAGATCCTAGTGAGCTTTCCAAGTGAATCGATGAATTCTGGAATTATCAGCAAATCCATGGTATTTAAAAATCAAAGGAATAGATGAGACTAGCTAGAAATGAATTCAGAGGGAGGAGAGGGGGGGAAAAAAGAAAGGCAGGAATTAAGGTCACACAATTAGGATTAGAAGAATAGACCCGGATTGAGTCCTGAAATCCAACCATATAGAGAAGAGACTTTGGAAAAGGAAACCCGGAGCAATGGCCAGCAGAGAGGACAAAAACAAGAGAGCTGATGTCACTGTGATTAAAAGAATATCTGAAAAATATGAATCTGGACATCTGGTCAAGTGTTTCTAATCAAGCAAAATCAGGCCAGCAATGACCTTCACAAGATCAGTTTTGCTGTGAAATAAAGGGGGAGGCTCTCCTGGAGTGGGTTCAAGAATCATTGAAAGAAGGTGAAGAAGCCGGTGGAGGGAGGCAGAGATGATAAGTGGCCGTCTTCTCTTCACCTTGGCCTCCTGGCCAGATAATCAATGAACTGATTCCATTTGAGCTTCCAGACTTTCATAAAAAGGTCCTTCTGTGTCTTTGACATGGAGCTATACCTGCAAGAAGAAGAGCACAGGTCAGCCCAAGGGAAGGAAATGGGAATAGGACAGGAAACAGGAAGGGACCTTAGATTCTTGCAGAGGACACATCTCCCCAGTCTGAAAGCAAGAACAAATCAGTGACAACGTGGAGAACCACAGAAACCACTGAGGTGTCTGTCTCAAATCTCTAAGGAAAGGCAAACAAATGGTGGGATGGGGTGCAGCTCAGTGGTAGAGCGCTCACCTAGCATGGGCAAGGTCCTGGGTTCCCTACCCTGTACTACAAAACAGGAAAAGAGAAACAGCTATAGGGAGGGGCAGGTTCAGGGAAAGACACAGGACACTCACTTGATAGAGTTTGTCACCAGCTTTTTGAGTGTCCTCAGGTCAGCCCTCTTCCCCCCGATGCCCATGAAGGCCTCATAGAAATCATAGGACAAGCCTTTAGCACCAAAGACAGCTGGGTCATCAGAGTTGATCACCATGGGATGCCCGTAGGTCATCAGAGCAGCTGCTGGGTGGTTTCTCATATCAGACACGAGTTTCATGACCTGTTCAATAGGAGGCATGGGAGGAAGGCAAATGTTGATCGGCAGATCTGTAAAAAGACTCATCACAAGGGAGGTGAGGCTGTGAGCTCACTCAGCTTCTCTATTATCCCCATCCCCATTCTCAACTAGTTCCCATGCTCTTTCTACTGTTTCCAGAGTTTTATCAGCAGCACCAATGTCTGACTCACTGTTGAGTCTTGCTCAGAGAAGTCTCTCAAATACAGCAAGACAGATGCACAAATAGCCCCAAGAAACAGCTGGAAGCAGCAATATCCCATGGCCCCTTTAACTTCTAGAAGCCTTATGTTCCCTTTCACTTTGGGCATAGCTTTGGCTCACATTCCCCCACCCATTAGGACCCTTACTGTTGCCTCCTTATTATAAGTGGTTTAGGCAAAAGGCCATTCCTAAATAACTTTATTAATGGATAAGGGAGAGTGGAAGAACAAGTAAAGGAGAAAGAAATTATAGAGAAAAAGTAAAAACTTTTTACTTTTTGAGGTGGGGCAAGAAGATCTTAAGATTAGCCCCAAGGGTTGTGCCTACCTGGTTGGAGATGGGACACACTTCTAGGGGGATGTCCTTGTTCTGAGTATAAGCCTTGACTACTGGGTGTTTGGTCTATGCAAATCCATGTCCAATTCTGGTAGCATTCAGAATTACAGCATCTATAAGGTTTCTGTCTATGGAAGTACCATACCAGTCTGGGGGGAAAAAGGATAGTTTTGACAGGGATAGATGGATCTGACCCATAGATCATCTACAGGTAAACACTCCAACTCTCCCAGGCAACAAGGAGAAATTAACATACACACCATATATTTTTCTTGTAACTATGCTAAAGGGAGGTATGGTATGCCTGTTCTCTCTCTTACTATATTATTTTATTTACTAACCAGATGAGAAAGTTGAAAGTTGCATAGGTTTCTGTTGTTGTTATTGTTTGGGTGCTTTTTGTGGTGCTAGGGATTGAAACCAGGGCCTCATGCATGCTAGTCAAGTGCTCTACCTCTGAGCTACACCCCTAGCCCCTTATATAGGTTTTATAAATTGATCAAGGATGTTCAACTAATATGTAGCAAAACCCTTACAACAATGATCTTTATGATCTTTACAACAATATACTGAACACTCTTTATTTATAATGTCAGTATAATTATCTATATGCATTTATTTTCTTCTGTAGATTGTGTATGTATGTGTGTGTCTACTACTGAGCTACATCCTCATCCCTTTTTTTTCTTTTTCTTTTAATATTTATTTTTTAGTTGTAGTTGGACACAATATCTTTATTTATTTGTTTGTTTGTTTGTTTGTTTGTTTATTTTTATGTGGTGCTGGGGGTCGAACCCAGGGCCTCTGCCACTGAGCCACAACCTCTGCCCCTCTTCCCTTTTTAAATTTTATCCATTTATTTTATTTATTTACTTAGAGATATTCGTGTGTGTGTGTGTGTGTGTGTGTGTGTGTGTGTGTATGTGTGTGAGTACTGGGGATTAACCCAGGGGTGCCTGCACTGAGCTACATTCCCAACTCTTTTCATTTTTTATTTCGAGAGAAGGTTTGACTAAATGTGGAGGGCCTCACTAATTTGCTAAGGCTGGCCTGGAACTTGCAATCTTCCTGTTTCAGCCTCCTGAGTCGCTGGGATTACAGGTGTGCACCACTGTGCCTGGATCCTTTATCGATTTAATGGTGTTCATGAAACATCATCAACTGCTAGACTCCAATGGCCACCACTAACAAAGCCAGAGCAGATGCTCCTGCAGCCTCCTCCCCAACCATGCCCACTGCACTCTCCTTGCTGCCATGGTCCTCTTTGCAGGGTGAAATGACAGATCCAGACTCCCATCCTTCCTGGCAGCTAGGACAGTCCTAATGCTGGTCTGGGTGGGAGTTTGTTGGTTGGTACTGGGGATTGAACCCAGAGGTGCTTAACCTCTAAGCCACATCCCCAGCCTTTTTCTTTTTTTTTTAATATTTATTTTTTAGTTGTAGTTGGACACAATACATTTATTTTCTTTATTTATTTTATGTGGTGCTGAGACTCAAACCCAGGGCCTCACATGTGCTAGGTGAGTACTCTACTGCTCAGCCACAACCCCAGCCCACCAGCCCTTTTTTATATTTTATTTAGACATAAGGTCTCTCTAAGTTGCTTAGGGCCTCCCTGATATTGCCAAGGCTGGCTTTGAACTAGCAATCCTCCTGCCTCCACCTCTCAAGCCGCTGGGATTATAGGTGTGGGCCACCATGCCCAGCACTCACCAACTCTTTTAACTATGGACCAGTAACACTAGTCTATAAAGTAAAAATAGAAACACTTCCCAGGAAGATTGGGGTGAGAAATAGAAATAATATACATAAAGTACCTGATAATATATTGTCATTGAGTACTTTATCCCCTTTCCAGTCAGCTGTCAGGATTATGAAAATGGGCAAGGGTCTGACAGTGCCTGTGGCCTATGCCACAAGGCATAGAGATGATGCCCCTGCATGCCACAGGACCCCAAGAGCTGATGAGGGTCTCTCCTGTTGACCACCTCCTCTCTTCCCTGCTGGTGTTCACTACAGCTCACCTGTCTCCCCAGCGTGGAAGAAGTAAGGTAGTTGAACACCATATGTGACTGGAATCATCAGAGCCTCCTTGTAGTGATATAAACTGTAGCCGGTGTCTTCACGCCCCACCTGCAGGACAGACATGAGGGGACATGTGGCTTGGCACAGGACTGACTTTGCTGGCAGTATACACTGCAGCCTAGGAACAGTCTTCCTCTTACCCTGCCACTGCTTCTTGAGACCTAAGTCATACAACATCTTAAGGATGACTGGTAGGGCCAGGCTGGTGGTGCACACCTGTAATCCCAGCAACTCCAGAGGCTGAGGCAGGGAGATGGAAGGGACAAATTCCACATCCTGGAGAATTTTTTTTTTCTTTTTTCTTTTTTTGGAACTGAGGATTGAACCCACAGGTTCTCAACCAAAGAATATCCCCAGACCTTTTTTTTATATTTTATTTAGAGACAGTATCTCACTGAGTTGCTGAGTGCCTCACTAAATTGTTGAGGCTGGTTTTGAACTCGTGATCCTCCTGCCTCAGCCTCCTGAGCCAATGGGATTACAGGCATGGGCCACTGTGCCCCACCATCCTGGAGAACTTGCCCAGGGCTACTAGCCCCATCTCAAATTCCTCCCTTCTGTGTACTATAATAGGAGGTGACCCTTGTAAAAACCCAGCAGAGGTGAACCACTGGTCTAAATAAAAGGGTGGAAGGTAGGGGAATGTAGAACAAGCCCATAGTTGTCCAAACTCCCTGAATTCCTTTCTTATTCTAGAACTTTCTTTTTTAGCCATGTGGCTTTTCTGCTTTCTTTTCTCCCATGGCTGCCATCACCCACAGCCTCTGAGAGAGGGTCAGTGCTAAACCCTGCCAGCTCTGCTGGGTCAGCAGCCACAGCCCCAGGGTGTTGGTGAGCACTGCTCTGTACAAGGTGTCCCCTTTACAAAGAACAGCCTACTTGGCCTGCCACAGGCAACCCCACACTCCCCGCTTCTCTGCACAGAATTGGTTACCAGGTTAAACCCTGCTATGATGTCAGGGAATACTTCTCGAAGTCTGATGGCAGTTCGGACAGAATGTGCAATGAGAGCCAAGCTTTTGGTCCTGAGAGAGAGAGAGAGACAGAGAGAAGCTGGGAGATGGCAGCATGAACAGAATCATTGCCTGGAGCTTGCTTAGGTCAAAGTATTCAGCAGCCCCTGACAAAACCACACACATGACCCCAGCCCAACCAAATCATTCCTGACCAGGAGCCCTGTTGGCTCCAGGGAGACCCACAGCCTCTGAGAAGTAGGTGGATAAGGAGACCCATGGGGAAAATTTCATTTGTTTGCATGAGGCAAAATTGGGCCTGTTCCAGGTACGCTCTACATCCCTGCAGGGTGGGCCATGAAACGTGGAGGTCCTTTGTCCACTGGACGCCTGCAAAATGCCACAATCCACCCAAATCCCTGATGGAGGAACTGGACCAGGTCACCATTTGGCCATTTGCTGATTAAGTCAGCAAAACCCTGGGCACTCCAGAAAGCATCTACCCAAGGTGTCTCACTTCCCTCTGTACCTTCTCCCTTCAAGTCCATGGGCCAGGTGAGGCAAGCAGACACACAACAAAAGTGCTAAGTGACAAAAGGCTGGTATAGTCACAATGGCACAAAGGTCTCTGCCCAGCTACGGGGTCACTTGTTCTAATCCTCTGTCCTGTGGGTGGTAAGAAGGCCTGCCTAACTCCCATCCATGGCGTCTTGCAGAGCCTAATGGAACGTGGAGGGCACTGACCCTCAGCCCTCACCCCCTCCTACCACTGGCCCTGGGAGGGGACCACTGGTGTCAAGGAGCAATCATGTTGGTTCATCCTATGAGTTTCTTCTTGGGGTTGGGGGAAGGACTAGCACACAGGCAAGGGGCTCAGCTCCTGCAGTTCCCAACAGGAAAGAGGAGAACTTGGGGACAGGACTGGGGAGTTGGCTTTTAGTAAGTCTGATGGCTCTCCACAGCCCAGCCTCATGGGTGGGTGGAGCAGATGGAGAACTGCCTGCCCAATCCCACTGGTACCCCTTACCCTGCCCTGACTCAGAGTGACATCTGCTTGCCTGCCTTCTGCATGGTTCTGGCTAGGGACAGGTCACACCACAGAAGATCAGCTGCTCTTCAATTTAAGGGCAGAGCTCTTCATTCGGCAAAATTAAGCTACAAAGCATTCCACGTACGACTGGGGAAGCAGTGGGTTTTTCTTCACTGTCCCCCTAGATCATGCACACATGGCCATTGTGGGGTCTCCACATACAGACCTGAGCCAGTGTCACACAGGGCCTGTGACCTATCAAGACCTCATACATGGCCACCCACAGCAGGCAGCTAACATTAGGCAAAACCCCAGCAATAAATGGAAAAAAAAGACTGAGTGTGGTGTCACACACCTGTGATCCCAGTGGCTCCGGAGGCTGAGGCAGGAGGATCCAAGTTCAAAGCCAACCTTAGCAATTTACTGAGGCCCTAAGCAACTCAGCAAGACCTTGTCTCTAAATAAAAATATAAAAAAAGGGCTGGGGATGTGGCTTAGTGGTTAAGCACACCTGGGTTCAATCCCTGGTACCAAAACAAACAAACAAATGGAAGCAAAAATGTGGGCCAATTATCCTAACATTCAGGCAAAAATATTATACCTATCATCACCCTGGCCAGTGTGGCCTCAGTTTAGAATTATCTGGAAAAATGCCACAGTTTTTCATTTCAGTTTGTTTGTGAAGACCCAAACTAGAGGGATTTCAAAGTAGATCTTCACTTCTGCACTCACACACACAAAAAAAGAAATGCACACATCAAACCCACAGCCCTGTGGCATCAGTCACTGGGTTGATGATCCCCAGCCTCCAACTTTACTCCTCCTCTCTGCTCCCCTCCCAGCACAGTGCCTCTATCCTGTTCTCCCAACTCTAGCAGCGTCAGCCATATTCTCTCACCTGTAATCCGAAAAAATGAGTCTGAATCCCATAAATTCAGGATGAGTCCTTTTAAACTCGTCAGCTACTTCTTGGTAAGCCCTCACTACCCACAACTGGTCGTGGATCTCCCCATTCAGTTCATATACCTGTGAACAAAACATGGTTCCAAGTAGACATCAGAGGGGTGCAGAGCAAAACTTCATTCCCAACCACCTGTCATCTCTAAAACTGGATTGTACTATGTGTTCCTTTTGTTATGGTTTAGATGTATGGTGTCCCCCAAAAGCTCGTGTGTAGACAATGCAAGAAGGTTTAGCAGAGAAATGATTGGGTGATGAGAGCCTTAAACCAATCTGTCAATTAATCCCCTGATAGGGATTCACTGAGTAGTAACTAAGCAGGCTAGAAGAGGTAGGCATTGGAGGTATGCCTTTGGGGTATAAATATTTTGTATGTGGAGGATGGAGTCTCTCTCCTTCCTGATCTTCATGTCTTGAGCCACTTTCTCTACCACACTCTTCCACCATGATGTTCAGCCTCCCATTGAGTCCTTAAGAAATGGAGCCAGTTGACTATGGACTGAGACTGCTTGAAACATGAGCCCCCAAATAAACTTTTTCTCCTTAAATTGTTATTATTGGCCATGCTAACGAAGAGAAAAAGAGAGAAAACTCAAATTACTAAAATACAAAATGATGAAGGAAATATCACAACTGGTACATCTGAAATACAGAAGATAATTAGAAACTATTTTGAAAACTTATACGCTAATAAAATAGAAAATATTGAAGACATCGACAAATTTCTAGAGATATATATCACTTATCCAAACTGAATGAGGAGGTGATACATGATTTAAATAGATCAATTTCAAGTAATGAAATAGAAAATGCCATCAAAAATCTACCAACCAAGAAAAGCCCAGGACCAGATGGATTCTTAGTCAAGTTCTACAAGACTTTTAAAGATGAATTAACACCAATACTCCTCAAAGTATTCTACAAAATAGAAAAGGAGGGAATCCTTCCAAACTTAATGAGTTTGGAATAATATCACTCTGATACCAAAACCAGACAAAGACACATCAAGGAAAGAAAACTTCAGACCAATATCCCTGATGAACATAGATGCAAAAATTCTCAATAAAATTCTGGCAAATCGCATACAAAACATATTAAAAAGATAGTGCACCACAATCAAGTGGGATTCATCCCAGAGGTGCAGCATTGGTTCAACATACAGAAATCAATAAACATAATTTATCATATTAATGGACTTGTAAAAACAAGAATCATGATCATCTTAATGCAGAAAAAACATTTGACAAAATACAGCACATCTTTATGTTCAAAACATTAGAAAAACTAGGGATAGTAAAAACATACCTCAACATTGTAAAAGCTATATATCCTAAACCCAAGACCAACATCATTCTAAATGTTGAAAAACTTAAAGCATTACCACTAAAAACTGGAACAAGACAAGGATGTCCTCTTTCACCACTTCTATTCAACATCATCCTTGAAACTCTAGCCGGAGTAATTAGACAAAGGAAAGAAATTAAAGGGATACAAATAGGTAAAGAAGAACTCAAACTATCACTATTTGCTGATGACATGATTCTATATCTAGAAGATACAAAAATTCCACCAGAAAACTTCCAGAACTAATAAATGAATTCAGCAAAGCAGCAGGATATAAAATCAACACCCATAAATCAAACGCATTCCTATACATCAACAATGAATCCACTGAAAGAGAAATTAGGAAAACAACTCCATTCAAAATAGCCTCAAAAAAACAAAAGAACTCAATCTAACAAAAGAGATGAAAGATCTCTACAATGAAAACTACAGAACACTAAAGAAAGAAATTGAAGGAAACCTCAGAAGATGGAAAGATCTCCCATGCTCCTGAATAGGCAAAATTAATATTACCAAAATGGCCATACTACCAAAAGTATTATACAGATCTATTAAAATCCCAATGACATTCTTCAAAAAATAGAAAAAGCAATCATAAAATTTATTTGGAAAAATAAGAGACCCAGAATAGCTAAAGCAATCCTAAGCAAGAAAAGTGAAGCAGGAGGCATCACAATACCAGACCTTAAATTATACTACAGAGATATAGTAACAAAAACGGCATGATATTGACACCAAAATAGACTTGTAGATCAATGGTACAGAATAGAGGATACAGAGACAAACCCACATAAATATGGTTTTGTCATAGTAGAAAAAGGTGCCAAAAACATTCACTGGAGAAAATATAGCCTATTCAACAAATGGTGCTGGCAAAACTGGAAATCCATATGTAGCAAAGTGAAATTAAATGTCTCTCTCTCACCGTGCACAAAAATCAACTCAAAGTAGATTGAAGACTTAGGCACTAGAACTGAGACCCTGTACCTAATAGAACAAAAAAATAGGCCCCTATCTTCACCACATCAGCCTAGGATCTGACTTCCTTAACAAGACTCCTAAAGCGCAAAAAGTAAAATCAAGAATTAAAAAATGAGATGGATTCAAATTAAAAAGCTTCTTCTCAGCAAAGGAAACAATTAATAAAGTGAGGAGAGAGCCTACAGATTGGGAGAAAATCTTTATCACATGTACTTCTGATAAAGCATTAATCTCTAGGATATATAAAGAACTCAAAAAACTTAACACCAAAAAACAAATAACCCAGTCAATAAATGGGCTAAGGAACTGGACAGACACTTCACCGAAGAGGAAATACAATTGATCAACAAATATATGAAAAAATGTTCATCATCTCTAGCAATTAGAGAAATGCAAATCAAAACTACTCTCAGATTTCATCTCACTCCTGTCAGAATGGCAATAATCAAGCATACAGGCAACTGGGGCCAGGGTTGTGGCTCAGTAGTAGAGGGCTTGCCTAGCACGCATGAGGTACTGGGTTCGATCCCTGACACCACATAAAAATAAACAAATAAAATAAAGGTATTGTGTCCATCTACAACTTAAAAAAAAAAAAAGAATACATGCAACTATAAATGTTGGTGAGGATGTGATGAGAAAGGTACATTGTTGGTGGGACTGCAAATTGGTGCAGTCTGTTACTATGGAAAATAGTATAGAGAGTCCTTAGAAAATTGGCAATGGAGCCACAATCTGACCCAGCTATCCCACTCCTTGGTTTATACCCAAAGAACTTAAAATCAGCATACTATAGTGACACAGCCACATCAATGTTTATAGCAGCTCAATTCACAATAGCTAGACTATGGAACCAACCTAAGTGTCCCTCAATAGGTGAATGGACAAAGAAAATGTGGTATATATACTCAGTGGAATAATACTCAGCTTTAAAGAAGAGTAAAATTATGATATTTGCCAGTAAATGATGGGATTTGGAGAATATCATGCTAAGCAAAATAAGCCAATCCCACAAAACCAAAGGCCTAATGTTTCCTCTAATATGCAGATGCTAATTCAAAATAAGGCAGGGGGGCACTAAGGAAGAATAGTGTTACCTTAGATTAGGTAGAGGGAAGTGATAGGAGGGAAGGGGAGGGAATATGGGGATAGGAAAGATAGTACAATGAAACAGACATAATATTGTATGTATGTATATGTATATATATATATATATATATATATGACCAATATGATTCTGTAACATATACACTCAGAGGAATGGGAAATTATATCCCATCTATGTATGATATATCAAAGTGCATGAATGCATTCTACTGTCATGTATAACTAATGAAAACAAATTGAAAAATTTTAAAAATTGTTCTTATTATGTCTTTTAGTTCCAGCAGTAAAAAAGCTGACTAAAACACCTTTTCTTGACCACTGAGCTACATTCCAGCCCTTTTTATTTTTTATTTCGAGACAGGGCCTCACTAAATTGCTGAGGCTTGAACTTGCAATCCTTCTGCCTCAGCCTCTTGAGTTGCTGGGATTACAGGTTTGTGCCACAGTGCCTGGCTTGTCCAATGTCTCCTATGGCCTCTGACTCGTTCTTTATTGCTATATGAATAGTCCTAACCCCACTGGGATAACACCCTTGGATGCCCTGAGGCTGAGGGGTATGCCTATGCCACACCCAGAACAGTGCCTGGCAGATGGTGTGGGTGCTCAACAAGGACAGAGGGTTGTGATGAATGAAGAACAGGTCTGCTGAAGAGGGGATACAGGCCAGAAATTATAATCCTAAAATTCATGTCATCTCCCCACTAACCAGCCCCTATCCTCCCTACTACTTCCTACCTCCTGGTAGAGCCAGCCACTGGGAAGACCAACTATGACATGGTTAGGGCACAGTAAGAAAAGGGTATGAGTAAGACAAAGAAAAAAAAAATGCAGAAGAACTGCATAATGGAAAAGTTTATAAGGAAACTCCCTGGGGTGGGAGGTGGGGTTATTTAGTGGTAGAGCACTTGGCTAGCATGCATGAAGCCCAGTTTCACCCACAGCACTGCAGAAACAAAGGGTCCCTACAATGTCCACTTGGAAGGCTGGTATTAAATGGCAGCTGAAATCTCCTGGGTAGCCCGGCTGCTGTGAGAACTGGGCAGCGGGAGTGTTCATTCCCTGCAGCTCCTACCCTTCCCTGTTGCTTGGCTAGGTCGAAACTCTGCCAAGGGGTTCATGGGCAGTTGAGGGTCAAGACAAGAGGTAGGAGTTTTTGCAGAGACTGTAGAGTGAAATAATATGTAAGGGCTGATTCTTTCAACCACTGAGCCACATCCCCAGCCCTACAACCCTCTTTTCATAGTAATTTTAAGATGTTATCTATCTTTTTCATTGTCATTCTCTCATGAAAGTACAGTAGAATTTTCCTGAAATTGCATCAGGTGTGATGATATCATTCTAAGAGGTAATGTCTCCTGTGCTTGTGCAGTCTTGAATTTTTGAAGATTTTCTCAAATTTTAATATCTAATATAGATTATAACAACAGATATAATCCACACAAATCGAACTTTTCTAAGATCCTTAAAATGTTTTAAGAATGTAAAGTGGTTCTGGAGCCAGAAAGTTTGAGAACCATAACCCAACTCAAAATTGTGACTTAAAGTCATCTTAACATCTCCCAGCTGGTTTGCAGCAGGGAAGAATAGAATTTTGTCCTATGCCTTCACGGCTCTGACATTATCTGAGCCACCTG